GACGTTCCCGTAAAATAACAGTTCGTTGGATGTTTCTTGTAAACAGAATTGTTCGTATGACGGTTGTCGTAAAAATAATTGTTTGTTGGGTGTTTTTCATAAACACGTTCGTTGAACGTTACTTGTAAAGATAATTGTTCATGGGACGTTTTGTGTAAAAATAATTGTTCTTTGATCGTTTCTTGTAAGAATAGTTGTTCGTTGGATGTTTCTAGTAAAATAATTGTTCGTATGACGTTTCTCGGTAAAACAAGTTTTCGGTGGGTGTTTCTTGTAAAAATAATTGTTCGTTGGATGTTTCTTGTGACATAATTGTTCGACGCTTTCTCCCAGAGAACCAAATTTAATATTTCCTAATAGTTACGTGTGAAATAATGTCCACTGGGCATTTGTAGTGTCAATAAAATAACAATTCGAATCTTCCTTACTGAGAAATATATTTAGCCTTACCAATCTTAAAGCATATACCGTGGAAATACTGACAAAATAATTGTTCGATAGACATCTTTTTAAAAACAATTTTCAGTGGATTCTCAAAGAAACAAACTATATATTGTGAAACAGTTACCGCTTGTATTACCAAAGCATTCTCTCGAATATTGAATGGCCAGTCTCTTTTCAAACATGATTGATGTGGGTAGTATATCGTCCGACCCGTGAAGATCCGGATTAGAACTGGTCTTCAGTAACCGGTGCTTGTCGTAAGAGGCAACTAACGGGATCAGGTGGTCAAGTTTGTTGTCTTGGTCGACACATGCCATCGTATCCCAAAAGCATAGATCGATGCTCATGGTGTTGATCACTGGATTGTCTGGTCCAGACTTGATTATTTACAGACCGCAGCAATATTGCTGAAATATTGCTGAGGGGGCGATAAACAACCAACCAACGTAAGAGGCGACTAACGAGATCAGGTGGTCAAGTTCGTTGTCTTGGTCCACACATGCCATCGTATCACAATTGCGTAGATCGATGCTCATGGTGTTGATCACTGGACTGCCGGGTCGAAACTCGATTATTCGAGTTCGTTGTTACACAGCAACCATCCAAACAAACAAATAAACGTATATCGTCCAGCACCCCACAACGTTTACTCCCAAAATTCTCCAAATACTTTTAACTCTCTTTAGGACACCAATCGACACATGCATAAAAAGTTAAATTGGGACCTACTGAAGGATAAGTGCGCCTGCTGTTTGCAGTAGTTGTGAAATAATTTTAAACGACTTCTTCGTTCAATTTTACTGTGTCTCAATGGATACGGTGGCAAGGAAGAGTGCTTACGTTCACATGAAAATGATCATTCAACCACTTAACAAATATAAGACCCACTTGTGTAGTAAGTAGTACAATATTTCTGTCAGATGGTGGTGGCGTGGCCATATTTAGTAACAATGTTCGTACATTATATGTGCTTGACAGTTTTATCTGTGCGTCCCCATTTTGAAATATTATTGCGACACAAATACGCTGAAAACTGGTGGTGAAAACTTATCTAACTGATTTGTATTTTGTATAATCCTTGCATGCAATATAATCCTCAGTCACAATACTATGTGAGTAAATTGATTGTGTTTTACGCCGTTGCAACAAGGGTGTAGACGGTAGCCTACACCGCCGTGATGTTGCTGGACTATTGCTAAAAGCGGCGTAAAACCAAACTCAGTCAGTGGTAGCCTACTAATCCTATTAACGTACGAGACAAACTAACGCCGCAAATTGATGCAAGATTGCTGATGCAACGTGAAACATTAATTACTGCCTCACTCACACAGAGTAAACCAGTGGTAGATAACATGAGCAACTAAAGTATACGCGACTACAGTCATTAATATCACCACTTATTCATGTGAGCACTCAAGCCCCACTGAATCATTATTTATTCTGACTTGATTTGTTTGTTTATTTATTTGTTTGTTTATTGTTGAGCGCAACACAGAGCAATATTCCAGTCTGTATACATTGGGTCAGACAATCCAGTGACTGGCATCATGAGCATCGCTCTACGCAGTAGAGATACGACAACATGCATCAACCAAGTCAGCGTTCCTGACCACCCTACCCCGTACGACAAGCATGGGTTCCTGAAGACAAGACCGCCTCCGTGGTGTAGTGGTTAGAGCGTCCGCCCGGAGAGCGGAAGGTCGTGGGTTCGATCCCCGACCGCGTCATACCAAAAGACGTTAAAATATGGTACTTGTTGGTCCCTGCCTGGCGCTCGGCATTAATGGGTACAACAAGGACTGGTCGGCTCGGAGTCAGTATAATGTGTCTGACACTGGGGACACCAGAAACAGGCTTCACACATTGTACCCATGTGGGGCATCGAACCCGGGTCTTCAGCGTGACGAGCGAACGCTTTAACCACAAAGCTACACCACACCACCGTGAACAATACCTGAGTAATATCAAGTCGTTTCAATCGATATTTGAGAGGAACACAAGATGTAGGTCTCTGACATATATCACTTTATTGACACCCACAGTGTGATGCTGCAAAACTGGACACACAATGATGGAGAATCGGGGCTAAGGGAGGTAACTCGTCTCAGCGAATTGCAGTTAGGTAGTCAGCAGACTAACGCTTGAATATTTATAGTTATGATCGTAACAATTAAACCCATTTAAATTGAAAAGGGGCCCCAGTCATATGGGAAATTCAGAGGAAATCTAGACTTGCTTCCTTCAGGTCTTTAGCATTGTACATAGGGCTAAGCAGTAGGGATAATAAATGTGGTTCATGGACTGTGAGACAGACTAAGGGACCGTTCATAATTTATGGCTTGTGGGGTGATGATGATTTAAGCTGGGGCACCCATTTTGTTCTAAGGAGGTAGGGGGTGTCATCAATTTTGTACACATGTACTAGGGAGGGGGAGCAATTTTGTATATAGAAATATAAAAAATATGCTTAGAAATTAAGGGAAGGGGGAGGGGGTCATTGATATTGTACATGACATGCAGGGGGTTCACTTACTTTGTACATAAATTATGTTAGAGGGGGGTGGCTGGTATTCACATTGTACATGCTTCTCCATAAAAATCATCATCACACACCCCCCCCCCAGCCATTAATTATGAACGGTCCCTAAGGCCACAGTAGCATTTCCACAATCAACATATACAGTATATTTACCACTACAATAGCAGGTTCCCGGAAGGTATACATATACTGTTGACGACACGTGTGCCTGTTTTCCATACGACGAAGTACATGTATTATAAAGTTTTATCTGTTTGCTGATAAAATTAAATCGGATTAAGATCAAGATTTGATACTGTTGCCCCTCTTGTATCGAGAACAAACCAGATCATTTCCCCATTTTGAACTTTGTCCTTAACCGTTAGACATTTCCATATCCTATGAACGTTTGAACAGACAGAGTAAATTCACATTGTGAAATGCCTTGTACAACGTAACTGAAATATATTTCACGGATAGGGAATATGACAGGAATTGCGCGTCAGGTGAGTAATTATTATGTATTATTTTGTTTGATTCTATGATTTTATTTCACTTGTGGGCATGATGGTTTGTTTGAGAAGAATTCCCGCGCAGCTAAATCCTTTCCTTGCAGCAATTCCATTTGTCAAAGCGCAATATAAGCAGTTCTCGATTTCCACGTGCAGCTATCGTATGTTTTCATCGCTCCTCGTGCTTCGCGTTCTACCTGAGATAACGTGCGAAGCAAGAAATATCCTCGACTTTCACGTGCACTTTCTTTTGACTGACACCTGTCAAATTAAGGCGTCTTAGAGGGCTAAATTTAACTGTGGTTGTCGATACCAAGTGATGGTTTTATGTGTGGTTTCATCACATAAACAAGACAATATATTTTATCATTTTACTTCTTAATACTTGAACATATATATCACACTACCCTTGAAAACAAATAAAGGAATTTCTGTTCCAAAACTAATAACCGTGCTCATAACAATGGTGTTGTATATTTTTCAAAAACCTTATCATGGAACATACATGTAAATAATGCATCCCTACAGGGTAAGAAACTACTTATGGGAATATTTCATAATTTGAAGAAGGCTGGTGAAGTAAATTATAATACATTCTTTAAAATATTTGACTCCAAAATTAAACCTATTCTGTTATATGGCTCAGAGGTTTGGGGTTTTACACATTTTAATGTTTTAGATAGGGTTCATCTTTATGCATGTAAATGAATTTTAGGTGTTAAGGTCAGTACTTCTAATTGCATGGTTTATGGAGAATGTGGACGTTACCCTTTATATATTGAAGCATAGAAGCAAATTTGAAGATATTGGATGAGGTTAGTAAATATGCCGCAGTCACGTTATCCCAAAAATGTTACAATATGATGTGTATGTATGATAGAAATGGTAAGATAAATTGGGTAACAAATGTGAGAAATATGCTTGAAACATGTGGATTCGGATATGCTTTTAAACTTGATTGTATTAGCTTCCCAAATGTTTTTATTTAATCTGTAACACAAAGGTTAAAAGATCTGTACTTGCAACTCTGGACTGCCTCGCTAACTCTATCACCCAAAACCTCATTATATAGCACTTTTAAATCAGATCTTATAGCAGAGCAATACCTCCTTGATGTTAACATTAAAATGTTTAGGACAGCAACTGCACGACTAAGATGTACATCCCATGAATTAAATATCGAAAAGGGCAGATATCATAATGTTCCACGAGAAAATAGACTGTGTATGTTATGTGAGTTAGGGGTGATAGAAGTTGAGTATCATTTTATATTAGTCTGTCCGCATTTTCACAATTTAAGAATGTTATATATACCCCCATTTTACCGCATCAATCACTGTGAATATAAATTAAGGTTATTGTTGAAAGCAACAAATCTACAAATTGTTAAAAATCTAACAATGAACATCTATCATGGGTTCAACAGTAGAAAATTTGTTTTAAATACCATGTAACTGTACACACTTGTATTGTACTATAGGCCTGTGGCCTCTTCAGTACCCTGAATAAAAGAAATTGAACTGAACAATGGTGTTCATCTGTTTGAAGTAACCATGTTAATTTTTTGGCTTGTTCGTTTTTGAAAAGTAGAAGTAATATTTTACGTTATTGAAGTCACAAACGGTGATACACAAACCGTTATACATTTTAAAAACGATAGCACAGTGACCTATTTCAAAACATGTTTACACGTCAGATTAATATATAATATTGGTTGGACCGTCCTCATTGTTAACGAAGATTACGTTAGATTATAACATTAAATCCAGTATAGCGCTTTAGAATTCCGACGAAGATAAAAACTGAATAAACACACGAGACTGGCTGTCAAAAGTGCTAAACAAATATTCAAGTCAGCATTTCCTTTCCTTCACGTGCAAATCATGGGCTGTAACGCGATAACCCAACATTTAACAATAAAGTGCTCTTGCACGCACTGCGGTTTTTGCGCAGGTGGCATAACATGTCGATTTCATCAAAACAGTTACCGTCCGTAGTTATGAATGGACGTTTTTTAACAGAATGCTTAAATATATTCCTGACAACATTTTGAGATCCAGTTTAAGAAACTTTGTGACCTGCCATTTAAAAACTAGAAGTCAAATTATCTTAGCATCTACACCGAATGATCAGCTTTTATCGAAGAATTAAATCTGAACCACTCACATGTCGAGGAGCGTCGCGCCACTCACGTTGTCGTGTACGTGTCAACTGTCTCACACGCTGTTGAGTGTGTTGAAGGCTTCCGTATGCCCTCACCTGAAAGGTTAAAATCACAAAAAATATTTTTAGCAGATATAAAATCATAATTTCGGACAATATGAATGTTGTTAATTTTAACGTGTATGTATCAGTTGAGGATCCGTTAGGTAATTTGAATGCTCTACTGGCCCAGTTTGTTTTTGTTTGCCGTTCAATGCCGCACTCTACCAACTCAGCGAACCTGACCACCCGATGCCGTTAGTCGCCTCTTACGACAAGAATGGATTGCTGAAGATCAATTCTAACCCGGATCTTCACGGGTTTCTTGCGCTTAATCTCTGAATATATATAATTTTGAACAAATAAACCCATTTGAATTTAAAAGGAGGAAATCTAGACTTGCTATATTTAGGGCTTTAGCATTGCAGGGTGGGCAGGGCAGTAGGGAAAATAATGTGGTTCAGGGACTGTGAGACAGACTAGGGTCTCTTCTGACACAGACCAAGTCGTGAAGCTAGAGAATGGCACTCGTTACTCTGCCAGGTGCTTAGAATTAAGGGGCTAAAAGATAACCTTGTCGGCTCCCAGGCAAGTACAGTGTGTCTGTGAGGTGGCTAAACTAGAGCACGTTATCTCAGTTAGCTTGCAATATAGAGCCAACAGACGTCCATTTAGTGCAGAAGAAGAACAAAGTTCTCATATATCAAATGTTGTGACATAGAGAGTGAGCGAGTTTAGTTTTACGCCGTACTCAGCAATATTCCAGCTGTATGGCGGCAGTCTGTAAATAATCGAGTCTGGACCAGACAATCCAGTGATCAACAGCATGTGACATAGAGAACATACAGATACTTTACAATACAAACAGTATGACTTTATACATGGCAACGGTAAAAACAAGCTACAATTAGGTACATAATAGATTTCGTGTGTACATGATATATTTTGTGGCTAATTACAAAGCAAGTGGTTTATAACTAGGTTTCACTGTTGAGGTGAATTTATTTATTGAGGAACTAGTAGATAAAATATTTAGGTTGATATTTCTTTTCTTAATGTTGCTAGACTTGGACATGTTAAAAGGCAGTTTTATTCGTCAACCACTGCTTCATTACATAATGTACATTGTCTGTCAGATCTGACAACGTTAGTCCATCTTCCAGTTTATATGGGTAATTATAATATGTGATTAGCTGATCTGTCTAAGGTTTGGAGGCAGTTCCAGAAGATAAGAATCTAGATGAGGTATTTCTATATAAAGTTTGTAATGTTTATCTTTTAAGGAAGCATTTACTGCATTCCAAGATTGATCAAACTGACACACGCAACCTCTTACGTGCATGTGCATCGGATCGAAATATTAGTACCTGGATGGTGAGATAGCCTTGTTAAGGCGGCCGCACGTCACGCCGGAAACCCTGGTTCGAATCCATACACGGATACAATGTGTGAAGACCATTTCTGGTGTCCCCCGCCATGACATTGCTGGAATATTGCCAAAAGCGGCGTGAACCCTTACTTACTCAGTCTGTCAGTTAGTGTTTAAATATCATGATATTGAACACAACGTTAAACCTCATTTCACCAACACATACGTGAGGTTTAGAAATATATTTGATAAATTCCATTTTTCGACGAATTAAAACATTTTTGTTCATCTTTTGGTATATGTACCTGATATTGTAAACCTGAGAAAAGTAGCTTCCACAATCTACTGTGCGTGACGTCGAATCCCAGACTCACAACCTTTGTAAACGTCTACACTCGCCATCATTTAGCGCGTTATGACAAACGGGTAAAAGAAAGTGTGCTCTTGAAAACTGGATTTGACCAAATATTCACAAAAGTTACTAAATTTAATGAATAAACACATGTTAATAATATAATAATATTTGATTCCTTAAGCGCCTTGTGTGTATCTGCCGGTGATCACTGGCGCTATGGCAAACTTGTTCTCGTCACTATATGGCTGGAATAATGCCGATGTGACGTAAAGCCCAACTCAACTCAACTCAACAACTCAACAGCACTGGCGCTATGACAAAGCTAAAACCAAATCCATGCACATACGATGACCCGTAGTAACTTGCATTTCAATCGAATGATATACCAATTTCTTGTTTATTTCATATTAAATCACAACCAACGTCTATTATTTTTTTGTCCTGGCAAGCTTTAAGAAAAAGAATGTTGCAACAATCTCGCTCGCCCCACCACAGACACTCAAGGCTTAGCCAAAAGCATTTAGGCTTAGTAAGGTCAAATTTCAACCCCTCTATTGTCTGCAACAATAGCTCAAAGTTCAGTCAAAATATCGCTATTCTCATCACAATCTCTACCTTATAACTCCAACCCCCTTGAACTTCTTCCCCACCCTGCCTCCGTCTCACGACGCGAGCAAACTTGCACTCAGTGACGCTGATTGGTCCGAGTGGTGCACTCTGACCCCGACGTACGTACGTGCACGCAATGTTTTCGACGTGAGGCGTGTGTTAGGAATTCTTATCGTAACACTTGAGATTCGTTTGTTCAACGCGGCGCGTCCATGATTATACAAATACCACATGCCGGCAGATTTAACCCTGAATTGGGGAAACCCAGCTTGATTCCACCAATACTTGCTCACATTTGTAACGACGCACGATGCAGTCATCGTCGACATGTTTTTTATCCAACGATCCAATGGACCATTCATTTTGAAGACATTTATTGAAGGCTTTCGTCGCTTTTGTTCAATAGTATACTTTTGAACAATATTTTTTCACCTTTATTTGATATTTTTTTCAATTTCATTTGTAACATTTCATGTTATTTGAATACCTGTCCACCATCTGGGCGACCGAGCTATCAGTTTGATAACTTGATAACAGTTTGAATGAGCATGTATTGATTTCTGTAACGGGAGATTTGTTTGATTTTTACTACTTTCAGAAAGATATGTTTGATGTATATTTTTTTCCAATAATGACTTGTAGCTGCGTCAGTTTTAATTGTTAAGAATGACAAATGCACGCCTGGAACAATATCGACATCGATGTCGTGCCTTCGTCGTAATGGCTTAAAGTGAGTGAGTGAATGAGTTTAGTTTTACGCCGCACTCAGCAATATTCCAGCTATATGGCGGCGGTCTGTAAATAATCGAGTCTGGACCAGACAATCCAGTGATCAACAGCATGAGCACGATCTGCGCAGTTGGGAACCGATGACATGTGTCAACCAAGTCAGCGAAACTGACCACCCGATCCCGTTAGTCGCCTCTTACGACAAGCATAGTCGCCTTTTATGGCAAGCAGATGGGTTGCTGAAGACCTATTCTAACCCGGATCTTCACGGGTCGATGGCTTAAAGAAAACGATTGTAGTTCTCAGTAGTACTCCCATACATGAATATAGTAATAATAATAATAATTAATAATAATAATAATAGGTCAAAGCCACCAATACTTTTGCTGTGCCAGTCCTCTCCTATTCCTTTGGAGTAGTTGATTGGACAAAACAAGATACCCAGAGTCTTGACCGCCTGACCAGAAGGATCATGTCTGATAACAGAGCCCACCAACCTTGTTCCTCTCTCAACCGTTTATATAGGCCAACCAATTCTGGAGGTATGGGTTTGATTAATGTGGAGGCTCTTCATGATAGAATTTTATTGTGTACTTTTTCACATATTTATTTATCGGATGATCCTCTAGTGATGTATGTGAAGACTCATGAAAGCAAGGAATTCCACAGCTATTTAAAGCGCGCTATGGTTGTTGGACAGAATCTGAGATTTGAGGTTGATTTTGTTGATGGCGATGTACTGCTGGGCGGTACAGTGATGGGAGTAAACCAGGTGAAGTCCTTCACCAAGTCTGCCCAGAGTCGGTCTTTTGTGGAGAAGCTTTCTGAGAAGCCATTGCATCGTGTGTACATGCAGTGTTTTGAACAGAATAGCAATCCCACCGACTCCTTCGCCTGGATGAATTCGGCTGGTCTTAAATGTGAAACTGAGGGCTTCCTTTTTGCTGCTCAGGACCAGTCACTTCTCACTCGTAATCGCCTAAATGTGATTCTTAAAGAAAATATCAATATGAAATGTCGACTTTGCAATGAATTCAGAGACTGCCCAACACCTTGTCAGTGGATGCCCTTCCTTGGCACAAACAGCATATCTTAAACGACATGATGGCATGGCTCGTTGCTTTTACTGACGTCTCAGACATGCCTGTGGCTTTGACTCCGAGGTCCATCCATGGTACGACCCTGAACATGTCCAGGGCGTTATGGAAAATGATGCCTCCAAACTTCTGTGGAATAGGCCCATATACAGCCTCAGAAGAATTCCAGCCAACAAACCTGATCTTGTCCTTTTTGATAAAGCCAATGAATTTATTTATATCATTGAATTTTCTGTCCCTTTTGACACCAATGTGATTGGCAAGATTCAGGAAAAGCATGATAAATATGCGGACCTCGCCTTTGAAATGTCTCGCTTGCATCCCAAGTACACTGTCGTCAGGCTCCCCATTGTTCTCGGTGCCCTTGGTTTGGTACCTCCTGATCTCTTGGCGCAGATCAGGAGAGTGCCCGGATTCTCCACCGGGAGTACAGCCCTTCTGACACTCTGGGTAATGCAGAAGGCTGCAGTGTTGGGGAGCCTTCATATTCTCCGGAAAGTTCTTGGTGGGTTCGGCTAGGCAGCGTTTCCTGGGAGAAGTCCCATTCGCTGTCTGGGCTGCGTGTAGAGGGGGCAAGGGCCCTGGGCTGATGGTGAGCCTTACCAGCCTGACTGTGCCAGGATCACCCGAAAACATAATAATAATAATAGTAATAGTCCGCTTATATGGGGCTCATATCCAGGCATACTGCCTGTTCATGGCGAAACGTACATTACTATCCCAGGTCATAGGACACTGTCGTACCGCCATATAGCGGGAATATTGCTGAGTGCGGCGTAAAACTAAACTCACTCACTGTCGTACTTTTTTATACTTTTTCAACTCCCTGGGGGTCATACAGCCATGCCGCCTGTTAGGCGCAATGAACTAAACACTCACATTGCCAGCACATCCTCAC